AAGACTAGGAGAAAAATGCTTTAATTAGTTCAAGGGGAGGGGTTTTTGCACTAACCCCCTGTGCTTTGGGCGGGGGGCAGGGGGCAGGAAAAAGGAAATTAATCATGGTTCTAAATGAAGCACTGTTTTATTTTGGGAACAACAGCGGGATGCAGTCTCAGCCAGATCTTCACTTCTTATTGCTATGATATTTACAACTGTCACCTCTAGTTCACATTTAAAGGTCTGGACATCAACAGCAAATAGAAGGCCAGAAACCACAAAGCAGTGAAGAAAATCTTATCTAAAAACTACATTATACAGTTTGAAAGGAAATTACAACATTTCATGTTTCTAGTGTCACTTCTATGCATGCCATAGCCTGGAGTTGTCATCATCCACCCCATAGGAATGGTAGTGCTAAGGTTTTCCACTGCTGATGTCTGTCTGCCTTCACAAATACCTGAGGATAGGTGGATTATCGCCTTATAAATCAATAGAGATATCACAGTGTTATCACTCTGTAGAAACAAGACATAAATGTGTCAAAATATATAACCATTTTTTTAAGCAATAGCTGTGAAGCATTACCCTGGCAACTTGAAGTTAATTATGAAATAGTTTTCAAATCCTACAAAAAGTAGAGAGTGACATCAAACAATTTACCAAGCAAAAGAAACTCTATCGAGCCTGAAGTTATGTTAAGGTGAATGGTCATTGTGCTTTCTTCCCATAAACTTTTGAGTTACTATTTCAATGAACATGAGTGGTAAGAACCCAGACATATTACCTCCATCAGGCTTGTAAATGACCCTTGCTGCTACAAGTTCCTAATGACCAGTTTAGTATTTAACCGTCACAGGGAAATGCCAAGGGCAACAGAAACAATGAAAAACTGGTTGTCAAGCAAGCTTGTAGGATTGCTGCAGATCTGTAATTTATGATGTACACTTTTAATTACTTTTTGGAAAGAAAAACTACCTTAATATAGTTGGAGCAGCTGTAGAATTGCTGTCAGAAAATGCTCAACATTCCAGATTAATTGAAGAAGCATCTGTGATCCCTTTCACCATCAATCACTGGATAATACACTCTGCCACTGTATGGTTCATTAATGGGTGAGCCTGATGACACAGTAAGAAGCAAGCTCATGATATGAATGTTCACAACCTTCACCTTATTTTTTCACATCACCCCTACTGTCGGGCTCCTCCAGTTGTTTTTGCATAACTGAGATGACTTTCTAAACCCCCAACACGGCTAGCGTAACATCAGTTATATACTAGGATGTTCACCTGAACTTCCCATACTTTCTCCAGCAGTTTCATTAATGGATTCAGGGAAAGCATAAGAGCACAAGCAGAAATCTGTACGCAGTAGCTGCAGAAAAAGAAACACACAAGCAGGATGAGATTTTAGGGGCACTTATGCAATTCCAAGGTATCTTCTCAGGAGATGTTCAAGACTCCAATTCCAAGATATGCTCTAGTGGGAAAATAACACATGGAGTGACTTAAGTAAGCATCCCTATACAAGAACCTTAATTTCCTTTCAGATTATACCATCAGTAGTTTATTTTAGGCACAAAAATCAATGGGAAAGCTCATCAGGAAGGTGAGCAAAATTTTTACCATTCATGAGGGGTCATTTGTATCTTATTGCCTGGCTCCTAAAAATATTTTATGACTTTTGCTCTGAAACCTATGTGCCTATAAAATGTCAGCTTGGGCATTTCTGATGTTACCTACTTTTATGAATGGACAAGTACACACAAATATTTGTAGTTGACTTTAGTTTGTGAAATTGCTAAAAAATTATGCTTAGAAATTGCTGATAAGATCTAAAAGGTATATAATGAAGGCTTGCTAATGTGTTGTTTGTTTAAGGAGCATTGCAGCTACTGATCATGAGCCAACAGACGCACGGAAATCATTCCCTTGCTTTGACGAGCCCAACAAAAAAGCAACTTACAACATATCTATCATCCATCAAGATGAGTACCAAGCACTTTCAAACATGCCAGTACAGGTATGTATTTCCCAACCCTGCTGCCTAAGTAGAATGGTTCTATAAAGCCACTGGAAAGGTAGCATGGATCGCGAGGTCCTTGCGCGTTCACAGACTCTACCACCCAGACACTGTAAAGCTAATGGTTAATAAATATTCCATAAAACAGGACTGGTTGGTTGGTTAGGACTCCCAGTGGTCCCCCAGCACAAAACATGGCAATACAAAGCCAAATCCAAAGCAGAAATTTAATGTCTCTTCTGTCTTTAGCTAGCTGGCCCTCTATTCAGATATTCTACATGAGCATCCCTTACTAACTATAAATAGGTAATGGCAGGTTCTTCAGTCAAACCAGGTGGACTCTGGGAAGGAATAATCTGGAAGACAGCTGCTTCCCAGATGGGAAGTCTAAAATAATCACTGAAACTACATAGTGTTCCAAAGCGAGGGTCTGCTGATCACAATCTAATGGCAAAGGATTCTGCTAGCAAGAAAGTCTAGGATTATTATTTTTAATAATACAGGATCTGAAATCCCATCTGTCAGCTCATGGGTGTACACACTTGTCAGTTCACCATGACTGTAATTTCCTAAATAATCTATTTCTGGACCTGGTGGGTCAAATTCCAAGTTTTTTACAGAATTCAATGGCATCAATTATCTACCTCTGGGCCCTCTGCAAGAAGATTGAATGGCTTTCAGCTAAGAGAGTTTCTAATGAATAGTTTAACTGAATGTGTTAGAATGTGTTCTGAAGTGGGAGATAAAGTGCCAAGATTTAAAAAAAAAGAAAAAAAGAAAAAAATTTTTAAAAGAGCTTCCAGCCTCCAGGCTGTTGACATTTGCATCTTCCTAATCACTCCCCCACCCAGAAGACAAAGGTCTGCTTTACTGTTTACTATTTTATTTAAAGAGTCCCCCAAACCTTAACTATCCCCTAGCAACGCAGCTGAGAGAACTATTACCAGTCTGATACAGCTGCCTCCAAGACCCTTTGCAAATTTAAAGCTCTGACCTATTGTTATTAAAAATACTTCTATGATACCTAAAAGACCACCAGGCACTTTGATGAACAACACATGAAAGGAGAGTGTTTGCTGTACCTTTCCTCACAGACCTCAGATAAGTGAGGGTACTGGCAAGGAAGGTGAGGGGATGAGACTACATGTTATCAAGATTTAGTGGGTTTTGAGATTTACTTTACACTTTTACATGTGGACTTTGCCTCTTGTATGGACATATAAAAATAAGCTTTCAAAGGGCTAGCTACAGCTTGTTAATTAATTTTCTAAAATCCAAGAACAGGCAGGGAAATGTAGATTATGCTGGTTCATACTCAGGTTTGACTAAGGGATGATAGCAGGGCACTTTTTCATGTGGTGTGCTCACAAGGTCAGTATCTCTGTTCTTAGTAGTGAAAGACCTTTGGGAAATCTTTTCCATGTATGGAAATGTAATAGTTTGTAAATGCAAAGCACGTTGTGTGTTACATGTCCTGCAGTAGTTTTGGTGGTGAGGACCTTTATAATCAACATGCAAAATCAGTTCAGCAAACTCAGAAACTGGTACGTATCATTTGCATTTTTCACTGCGGTGATTTTTTTTTTTTTTTTTACTTTTTTCCACTGAAGTTCTGACTTTGTTGAAAGAACAAAAGATATCAAAATAGAGTCAAAATGAATCAATAATGGAAAAGTAGATTGTGAATAACTCTGTGAAAAGGGGGTTGTGAATATATCTGTGAAAGGGGCTTTTTGCTCATGGAATCATATTACCTGTAACATTCACCATCTGTGCTTTATTTATATTGTATTTATAACAAACAAATCTCATGAAGTACAGTATCTCTAGCAGAAGGTTAGTGCCTTTTATATATTGTTTGCTTTTGTCCTATTAAGGTAGTCAACCAGTCAGAAGCATAAATTATCAGACAGGCAATAGCAGACAATGAATAGCAGAAATAAGTATTTAGAGGATGAATCACATAAAACAGGTTGCAGGTTTGGTCATATAGTTCAGCTGAACATTAAGGACATTTGGAAAAATCAAGAACGGGTTTTGATCGATTTACAAATCAATTATGATCAGCACTAAACCTTATGTACATTTAAACAACCCACCAATTAGCAGTGCTAATTTGTATCTGAGTTCAGGATAGACTCATTAGAGTGTTCTTTATCCTAAGTAGCATCTCTGCAATCCCTGACTCCTACATGATGCATGTATTTAAGAGAGGAGAGAATTTCTCTGATCTGTCCAAAGTGATGTTATTTTATGCAACTATTTCAAGAACAAAACACACTCACATACACTGGAAAGCTCCTGTTGGCAAAACTCCTGTGCATGTGAATGATTTAAAATCCTCAATGCAAAATTAGAGCCAGGAAAGCTTATTTAGTGCAGAAAAAAAAAAGTCCCATTTTGTGTATTGCAATATTGCAGAAAAAAAAATTTTGTCTCTTCTCATGCCATTGGCAATGGGATGCCAGAAGAGGTGAACCTGGAGAGGTGATTTGTCTTTCCTATGTAGTTGCAGCTTTCATAGAAACATTGTACCCTCTTCTGCATGTGTTTGCAATTCCAAAAATAAAATTCATTATTTTTCCATTTCTGCAGCAAACTTCAAAGCTGGGTGGTGGCTGGAATCGGACAACTTTTGAGAAGTCAGTTCCCATGAGCACTTACTTGGTATGCTTTGCGGTGCACCAGTTTACGTGGGTAGAGAGAAAATCCGCTAGTGGAAAACCTGTAAGTCCTGTTGCAGCCTGAACAATGTTCAGATGACAGACGTGCTTTGATTTGCATTAAAAAAAAAAAAAATTAATCATCTCTTTTTATAATACAAACAGGAACATATTTTTCCCTTTCCTATAGCCTATTTTCTGCAGCCTATTTTATCATATTAGGTGTTCAAAGTGGTCCCTCAGACCTTGGCTACATACAGTGTTTTGCAGTCCTTCCCTGACTCCCATCTTGGTGAGATTGCAGTCAGTACCTCCCATACAGGCACAGGGGTGAGGAAGGAGCACTATTTCTCCAACATCACCCCTGACTTGAAGCCCAGAGTCTAAGGGAATGTAGAGGTCCAGGGGTACAAGAGATTCACAGGCCATGGGTACAAATATTTTACAGTTTTCTGTGGGTTAAAAGGTGTGAATCTATGCACTTGATGTCTTCCTATTTACAGTCATGGAGACACAGGACCACAATGCTATGTGCCATTATGTATTTGCTCTAATATTCTTTATTTTACAACAGTGGCTAAAGGTAACTGCCCAGTGTAAGTTCTCTACAAATAAGTATAGAAGTGATAGTGCCTGCCTAAACAGCTGGATATTTGGTAGGTGCCCTAATGAAGTATGTTTGAATCTGAATCCATAAAATTAAAATAGCTCCTTTATTAGATGCAACAGGCAGTCCAATCCAGTTCTTGCTTAGATTCAAATCTCCTGAAGGTGCAGCTGATCAGGCATAAGGAGATCACAAGACGTTACACTGAATCACAACCTGAAAGCCTAAATACAATTTGCCCCTCAACATAAACTCCTCATTTAGCCTAAACCGAGTCTGGGATGCTCAACACACTGTTAATTACTTATTGGTTTAAATCCTTTTTACATCTGAGACTGATGATCCCAGAGCTGTATGCTTTTGCTGCTTCCGCTCCCTTTCCCCTTAGGGGTGTAACACATGGTCTTGTGGTTCAGCTGAGCTGGCAGTGCTTTCCTTCTCTTCTGGAGGCAGTGACACCAATGGACAAGGAATCTAGAGCAAAACCCCGGCCAGACCACTGTTGTCCTAACAAGTAAACTCTTCCTTAGTTTCTCTATCCGAAAAAGCTCGGCAAATCCTTCCCTACTTAAGGCTGTCCCCTGATGTAAAAATCTGCCTTGTATAAATCTCCAAAGTGCTGATCCAGTTCTTAGCAAAGACTTCCTGGCATAGAGCTGTGCTGAGGCCTCCCTCCTCTACGCCCTCACTAGCATCATGCTGTATACTTACATTATTTCTTGACAAATAACTAAAGCTAAATTACACTTAGCCAAGCAAATGGAGCCTGGTTTGAGATAACAATGCAATATTCTTGAGATAACAATGCCCTGCTGTTTGGCTGAGTAATATGCAAACCAGGAGAACGTTTTAGGCCACCCAGCCACACAATTTTGTTAACCAGATGCTCTTCAGCGTGGCTGCTCCATTCATTATCAGGGACAGGACTTTGGATATTTGGACTTGATCGATATTCTTTAGAGTTTAGTTATTTTAAGAATTATAATTTGTGCAGCTTTTGTAGAACATAGTGCAGTAGGAAAAAAAGAAGTGCTCAAGACGTACATAAAACTCTTATTTTCTAGATGGAAAAGTTAACATTCTCTGCTTGTCCATACCACTCTCCAAAATATGGCTTTAAGGACAATACCTGGGTTTTTTCCCCAAGGAAAACAGAAAAGTCCACAATGTTCCTGACCAGTTGTAGCTTTTCTAAACAGAAGGGAGCGTTCACTGAAACATTGTAATTAAAGTGTGTGTGTAGACACAAGGGTATTCATGTCGGTACAGACGTTGCCTGAAGAAATATCTTCCAGTTCAGTCCTCGATTATTACATATTTTATTAACGCTGTTCACCAAACAGTTGTCTGAGGACTTGCCTGCACTAGAAAACTTCATTTTTAAGTGAGGTTAAAATCATAACCATTCTCTTTCTCTTAATATGGACAGAGTTTTACCAATATAAAGTATAGGTATAAAATTGTTATTAATTAAGGGAGCCACATAAACTCCATCACTAAAAATTACCCTTTCGCCAGGAAAACCAGGCTATCTTTAGACCTTTCAATCAGATATTCAGCAAGTCCTTCTCCTAACTAAGCAGTTCCTTTCCAAAAACTTTGAAGCCCAGCCACGCAAGGAGGTGTTTATATTCACCAACTGCTGAAAAGAACATTCCATAGTTTGCTGTATAAATTGCTAGCAATAAATCCCTCATCCAACATAAAGTATCCATGTGATCCATATATTGCTTTCATAAAAAACAGCAACAGCATACAGCTCACATGACACAGTAAATTATTTAAAAACTCTGCTGTTCACTCTGAAAACCGTTGCCCTAACAAAGACATTAATGGCATCAATGGTGGGAAACGTGCCTACAGTTGGAAATGATGTTCCTGAGCTGATTACCTGTCAGGTACCAAATGTCTGGTTTGGAGAATCACAGAGGAGATTATACAAATGCAACCCAAAGTCGGTTCTAGTGCGTGCTGAATGTTTTGGAAACCATTAATATGGATCAGCTAGGGGACCAAAGACTGCTAAATTGGGTAAAGAGCTTACTGAAGTGGAAATTGCAGATTGTAATTGCAAACTGACCCTGAGGGAAATCCCCTGGCTGGAATGGATTCCTGATTGAATTTCATAAGCTTTTTTTGGTTTTGTTTTTTCATTCCAGCTTTATTTCTGACCACTTTCCATCCTCCCCTCAAGTTGGAGGAAGTGTAATTTCATGGTACTGAAATCAATGTGTTGTCAGGCTCCAAGAGGGCTCCTAGAGTAGGCCAGCTCCTTTTCTCAGTTTGGACCCTAAATTCCTGGCTGAAGGCAGGACTGAGGAGTAAACAGCCACACCAGTGCAGCCAGAAGAATGTGTACCATTCATAAGGGATGCAGAGCCTGCAAAATGAGATGGATTGGTTTTCCCAAAGCCAGAAGCTTCACTCTGTGTGAAGATCTTTCTTTCTACATTGGAGACTTTGAGGGACAGTGAAAAGCACAGCCTACAGCTCCTGACAGTGGACACTGCAGCGCTATGGCTCTGCTCTGGGACAGAGATCTGTGTGAGCTCTGAGACAAAGACATTGAGGGAAAGACCCCCAAAAGGTTCCATAAATTCTGAAGTCAAACTTTGTCTTCACAATGTGGAGATAACATCCCAAAAAGCTTTTTCAAGCTGTAGGCCTCCTCATCATGGTTATGTTATCCTCCAGGACTTGAGGTCTCCTATTGCTTGACAGTAATAGCCAAAGCAGTCCCAGGCACCAAGCCTCAGGGATGGAAAGGTCAGCACTCAACACGCCATTTTTTGCATTCAGGGGAAAAAGCATGCTCAAATATGCAAAAGGAGCACAGAAATGGTCACTCACCACACACAGGGCTACCAAACGTGCCAGTTTTCCTGGACCTGCCTGGTGGGAAGAGAGAGAGCTGGTTTTTGTCTGGGATTTCCAGAGGTGCAGCAGCCCAGCAGGCACCATAGCTGTGGCTGGGTGGCTGTGTGGCCTGAGGTCCTCAGCAAACAGCCATTCAACCTGCATGGGCCAGCATGTCCAGGAAGAGTTACAGATCTGGTAAAGGCACTATCTTCAAAGAGTCTGAGATAAACATACAAGGACAAGAGGAAATTTTGATGATAGTAGGTAGGAAAGGTAGGAAGAAATTGAAGAAAATAGGTGTTATGGGCTTCAGACACATTTCAGGACCCATGTGCTCCTAAAGATTGGTCTGATGGGATCAGTCTAGATCAATGAACGGCTCAGAACAAGTGGATTCCCTTCAGTTGTGCTTGCCCAGCCTTCCTTCCTGAGAAAACCAGGCCTCGGGAAGGAGGGACTGGTATGCACCTAGGCCCTGCTCCAAGCTTGGCCACTGTGAGCTTCTGGACATGGGTCTTGCCAGTTTTACAATTTAGGCATACTGTGGAAGGCGCGCACAGATTATGCTGACTTGGTCTTTCTTATGTACAACATTTGAAAAACTTTGTTGAGTAAATGTGTTAGGGAACAGAATTCAGTGTTCAGGCAAGTCTCTTAGAGAAAAACTGCAGTGTTACAGGTATGTATGTTAAATGACTTTTCAATGCGTGCCACCCCCTACTTGCTTTTAACTGAAGACTGTGCTAATTGTCTCTCTGTATTCTACAGCTGAGAGTTTACGTCCAGCCACCGCAAAAACACACGGCAGAATATGCAGCAAATGTAACAAAAATTGTATTCGACTTCTTTGAAGAGTACTTTAATTTGAGCTACTCTCTTCCAAAACTAGGTAATTATTAATACTTATATTTTTCTTTTTGTTAATTCACTGTCATGGTTATGTTTCTCCTACAGGTCTCTGTGCTTTGGTGGAAAACAGAGCATGAAAGCATTTGTTTGCTAACAGCTGATATTATGTCAGGATGTTTTAAAACTGTACCCATGTAGTTTAAGATGTTCTTAAATGTCATGAGGGAGGGTTGGTCTCAGTAACAGTTTAGTTACCAGTTCTCACAGTTCAGTTTGCTGAACTGAAGTGCTGGTCCTGGCACAGTTATTTTAAAGTGTCTTGTGGAAAATCAGGGGAAGCATTGGTGTCATCAGCAAAAGAACATCATGAGCTAAAACAGAGCCAGAAGAAATTTGAGAAAAACATGTACCACTTCCATGGGAACTTCTGGACAAAAGTCAGCAGTGAGATAAGTGAAGATGTAAACTGCCAGAGAGTATGTCATACTATTTATCAACCCTAGTTCAAAGTGGGTGTGTATCCACTTCTTAGAAAGACGAATGTGGTCCAGCATATAATTTGTAGTTTCTACTGCTGGGCTAAATGAAGACGCAGAGCTGAACAAGAGTGGCACACTATCAGATTTTGCCTATGGTTACAAAATAAGCAAAGAAAAAGTAGTGCAGTTGGGCATCCTTTAGCTTGGGCTATCTGGACTCTGGATCTGATTTGCGCAGTTTGAACTAATAAAGTTGGGAATGTAATCAGAATTTTGGAAATGCCCCCTCCTAAGAGCTCCAAAGAGGTAACTCAGTTAGGTTCATGAACTTAAAAGTATGGAAAAACATTAACTACAAACTAGTTAAGGCAATTTAATGGGGGGGGGGGGGGAACCAAAAACTTTGAAGGTGATTAACAATGCTATGCAAACCTTTTGTTGGCTATTCATATATGTACCTATCAGGCTAACCTGTATTACTTTAACAGATTTTTACCTCCTCCTTTCAAAACATCACCCGAGTTTACTGTAAATATCTCTTTGCATTTCAGCAACAACTGAATTAGGAAACCAGTACAATATGTTGTTCTTTTGCACACTGGTCCCTAGTAATAATTGTAACTATAGCTCACCTATGCTTCATATTCAAACTATCATTTCCATAAAAGCCTCATGATTTTGCCACATCAGCGTACGGATAGGGGCCTGTCTGCACTACAGGGTGGACTGGTAGCCCCAGGTCAGCAGTATCAGAGGGTAGATGCTCTTCTAGATTTTAGACAGTTTTTCTCAGAATGTCTCTGTGTTGGATCATAAATCTTGACTTACTCTCATTCCCTCAATAGTAGAAGTCATCTAGATCAAACCTGATGAATCTAATATGTTTCTGCATAATGGTTTATTTAAATATTGTATTTCACATTGATTTATGGCTTCTAGAATTGCCATTCTCCTTGTGATCCTCATTTTGACTGTCAGTGAAGCCCTTGCCAGACTATCAACTTTGATTCTGTAATCAAGTTGTTTAAATTAAAATAAGTAATCCCTATCTTCTGTTAGGGTGGAGTGAGGGTTGTCTGTCCTATTCAGTTTTAAATCCCTCTGTACTTTTTCACTATCACACATAGAAAGGCTGTGGTCATTGTTTGCAGAAGAAAATGCCAGTCCAATTGAGTCCGCAATTCTCATTTAAACCTTTATTGATTACTGACCATAAATGAATGACCCCTGCAAATTAAGCAGATGTTGTTCACTGCATGGGGGATTTACTTCAGTTAACATGTCAATAAATACTTTTAATACAACAGTGTGACAAACAATGACATGCCTCATTATGCTACAGATAGTTTCAGGAGGTTTACTGCCTACAGCACATCCCCAGACAATACTGTTAATCTCTGGAGCCAAAATTAAGTAATGTATGATACACACACTCCCAGGAGGTGGCATAGCATGACCTCACAGGACAGATCCTCAGCTAGTGCAACTGATCCTAGCTCTATTAATCTCAGCAGAGCAAGGCCGCTTGCTATCAGCTGCTGTAGGCCAGACCTCTGCTTCTTAAACACAGGTTATAGACTGCAGTCCACAGCAGTAAGCCAGAACCACAAATGGTAAGCAAAGCAGGCTGTGAATACACAGAAAGAAGACAAGCTAAGTAGCTTAAAGGATACAGTGGTAATCATGTTCTCTTTCTTTCAATGTAGATAAAATAGCTATTCCAGATTTCGGGACAGGTGCTATGGAGAACTGGGGGCTGATCACTTACAGAGAAACAAACCTGCTGTATGATCCCAACGAGTCAGCCACTTCCAACAAACAGAGAGTAGCTGCTGTGGTAGCCCATGAGCTCGTTCATCAGGTACATTTTAGGACATGATTCATTTTTACAGTTCTTCAAATGTGTAGTCGCAACATTTTAATCTTGAAAATACTGTCATCAGCTCCATCTCAGGATCTTCTACGTGTGCTCCCAATTTGATTGCAAAATATCGTGTTAAAACAGTTCCCTGTTAGAGCTTTAAAGTACCATAACTACTGCCTTTGCATTTTTCTCAGGAAGTTAGATGCTTGGGTCCAGACTGTAAGCCAGCTCATGAAAATCTGTCTGAAATGTCTTAAAGGAACTAATTTGCATGTGCAGATGTCTCTTTTGGGCAAGCAAATACAGAGAACTATATACTGTGGAGGCTGTCTGAAAACATATCCTTACAAGCACAAATCATCAAATCAAGAGGAAGAAACTAAAAATATTTTTGGTGGCACATGTATCATTAACAATCTCCCCAGTAATATGTAATTTTATAATAAAAGTGATGTTCTAATACAAGACGAGGCCTGAATTCCTATTTAAACCCTAGAATGATGATAATTTTCATCTGGCAACAGGAAGAAATGTGAGCAAATGAATGTTCTATGTGGAGATGTGAGATATTGAAATGTACATTTACCATTTAGCTAACACTACATCTTTCAATGTTTATAATTGTAGTGGTTTGGAAATATTGTGACCATGGACTGGTGGGATGACTTGTGGTTAAATGAAGGATTTGCCACTTATTTTGAGTTCCTGGGAGTAAATGCTGCAGAACCAGCCTGGAATATGGTAATTATTTCTTTCTTCTGGAGGGTTGGTGGGGCTGGGGGGAGCATTTTGGAAGGGAGTAAAAGATAGACAAAGACAATGAAGTTTATTTATAGAAAACTAACATAATGCAGTGCAACATAAAGAAAAAGTTGGTTTAAGTTTTTCCACCTACCTATGTTATGGCCTGAAACTAGTTAAAATAAACTTTGGAAAGTTTTAGTCTACAGGGAAGAGTCATTCTTTTTTAACAAGTGAGTCAAGTGTTTGGTTATTATTATGGCAAATAATACCTAGGTGGATTCTGGACAGAGCCTTAGCAATTTTGCAAGGTTGTGTAAGGGTCTAACCCTGGAAGATGGAGATTCCCCTTTATTTATTTAGTTGGGCTATACTGTGTCTTTGTCATGGTTTAGCCACCGAAACCAGGACAGTTTTCATGGGACTTGTCTTAGGATCATTATCTGACCTGGTGAGGGTTGGGAACCTGGGCCTGTGTCCACAGCTTGGGCTATTCATCAAGGAAAATATCAGATTCCCCATTCAGCTGCTGCCAGCATTTTAAGTATCATTTCAAATGTTCCAACTCAGACAATCTCTACTCCACACAGTGCAAAAATAGGTAGTGATAGTGGATGGCCCACAGCGCTAACTGTGCAGCAAAACCAACTTCAGTCACTTTAAGGGGGTTGCAGAAAAAGAGGGTAGCCTTAAATATGCATTATACCCTGATGAATGATAACAATGTGTGAATAAAGGGAGGTTTCTTGCTCTCTCCTTCCTCCCCTCTCAAACAGATGTGATGGTGCATAGCATGCATATTTCCCCCAGCTGTCCAGGTGTAATGAGATTCTGGCTACTAGAAAATATATAACATATGCCTGTGGAAGGAAGCAGGTTTTTCACAGGTTGAGCCTGTTGCCAAAATCTACTAGCCCCTGAGCCTAGTGACTTTAGAAGCAGGCAGTGCCTACTCTGTGCTTTCCCTGCCTCCCTCCCTGCTCCTCATAAATATGTCTTCTCTTCCATGTTATGTGAGGCTGAGAACAAAATCATTCCTGGGTCACATCTTTTACACTTCGAAATAGAGGATCTGTTGTGCTAACTACATAAGAAAAATTTTAATTACTAAGCCTAAAATTTAAAAGACGTTTTTGTATCTAGACACCATGTTCATTTAAGATCTAGAGCTGTTTCAGTATTATCATCCTAGTGAGTATTACTAGGAAAATTAGTAGAGGAAAAACTAAACTAGAGGAAAACTAAACAGAAATTTAGTCTTTTTTTGGTCGATATTGATTAGGAAGTAAGGAGATTTTGACTGCAGGCCACTTAATCTTTTAAAATATTTATAATCACTTTAAAAAAATTATAAGCCTGGGGTTGGGGAACATTGCCTCCTTCCTCCCTCCTTCCTTTCCTCCCCAGCTCCATTTTTGCAAGAGGAGCCCATAATGCTTTGCAGATATTGTCACACTGCTGAAACTGGTAATACGGGCTCCTTTTTTTGCCTGCTGGGGGGGGGGGTTGTGTTTTGATACACATGGGAAAACAGGATTTGCAAAAGGCAATTTATCTTAGTTAAGGAAAAATTCTGTCCCTCCCCTCTCAGACGTAAAGTAAGAGTTTGCAAGTCCTCTTTAGAGGAGGTGAAATTTCGTTCCATTTCCAGCTGTCTCCCCCTAGAGAAGTTGCAGTTCAAGCTATTTATTTTGTGAAGTTAGGCATATAGTCCTGCCTTTGTTCCCATTCTAACATCTTCTCTTTCTCAGCTTGAACAGGTTTTAATTGACGAAGTGCTTCCTGTAATGAAGGATGACTCTTTGTTGTCTTCCCACCCAATTGTGGTCGATGTGTCATCTCCAGCTGAAATCACCTCTGTGTTTGATGGGATATCCTACAGTAAGGTAGGATATCCTCCTGTTGTGACTTTGGATACAAAGACAGTTGGGGCTTGGGAGACAAGATAAGTCAGGGGAGCTCATAATTATAACTCCTAACCCACTTGGGGCTGTGTCTGTGTCGATCTTTTTTCTGGGACATCCCCAATAGTTGCCAGTGATGATTCAGTCAAAAGCAACTGTGAGAGGAGCTGTGCAGCCAGAGCCTTGGTCAGCCACTGTGTGCCATGCAAACCTGCTCACAGCATGCAGAGGTCCAGGGAAATCATAGTCAGCAGCTTCTGCCACTAGAGTCGCCGTGTTTAAAATTATCCTAAACCAGATACTAAGCACATTCCTCTCCCGTCACCTCGTGTGCTAACGCAGCCCAGTTATGTCAAGCCTCATAATCTAATGCAAGGGCAGATGATGCAAGGGCAGATGTCCAGGTGTCCTGTCTCTCACTTCCCCATCACACCTTCAGAGCAGTATAACTTCTGTTTTGAGGAAGCAAGGCAGGAAACCAAGCAGTGAAAACAGGAAAGTAACTTTTTGTCTCATGTTGCTCACAGTATCCCAGCCACCCAAGAAGCCTTAGCAAAGATGGCCTACACCAGCCTTTACTGGCATTGGCCCTAAACTGGGAGATAAGTTAGCTCCACATTTCACTGAGAGTTGTGGAGCTCAGGACTGACTTGGAGTACAGTAGTCTGTAGCCCAGGAGGTGGTAGAAAACATCCCATTAGGTATTTGACAAGCTTTTTCCTCATCCTGGGGCTGTCCCTGTCAGTGGTTGTGGGGACCTGTGCCTATAAAGGCTCTCTCAGGAGCCAGATGGAACTGACTGGAAGAATACCCTGGGTCTGTCTAAGCAGCAAGATGCTGGGATGCTGGTGTTGTCCAACCGCTGTTGTGACCAGGGCACACAGAGGCCTCCCTGAGCCCACAGCCTCTGGTAGCACTAGTTGTGTGGGGCGGCAGCCAGGAGCTCAGCACTTTTCCACAAGTGCTCTGAGGTCTGAGCATTAGAGACGCCAACAGCTGTGCTGAGGTTCGCTACTTGGATGTGGTCAGCAGGATCCAGGCTAGGAGGGTGAAGCCCGCTCGTCTCCCTCCAGATCAGATATAGCCAAAACCATTGTGTGCTTAGACAACCCTTAGACGTGGAACAAAGCAGGTATCACCCATACTCCCTGGTATCTAACCAGGGAGTCCTTTGAATCAAGTGCCCTGACAACACTGTTGCTTCTAGTTATTTTTTTCAGTGCATTAAGAAACAAGTCCAAAGAAGCACAGGAGGAAAGACCCCTGTGTGGTCTCTCACCACCACATATGTCACCACGGTGAGGAAAGAGCTAGGACTCTGCTCACTCTCTGCTCAACCAGCTATGTCCCATGTTGCTTCTGACCCTGATACGTGACGTTTGTGTTGACAGCTTCTTGTATGACTCTGTCAGTGTTTCCTATTTGATGCCATAACAAGTTTCCCCTGAACTCACAAAATCCACCATTATTAGATCCTGTTTGTTGCTTTCCCTCCAAGCTCCCATTATCAGCTAAACATAAAGTATGTATTGCATTGACTTTAGCTTTAGCTGTGCTAGAGTCTGTAGCTGTAGATACTACTTTTATTAGCTAGACTTGATCCATTCATTTCCATCATTTTTCTGTTTTCAGTTGTTAAATCCTCTATCCACCAATACAACCAGTATTTATTGCATCATAAATGTCTTACAGTCAAATCATAAACCATGTGAAAACCTGCATTGTGTAACACTGTTCTTAAATCAAACCAACAAAAGTCAAGAAACATACAGAGCTAAATCAAATACTCTGGACCAAAGTGTATTTTAGTGGTGAGCTAAGCAAGAGACATACTTTTGCATGGTCTGAAAAAACAATGGAGAAAAAAAAATCCTAGCTTTTACTCATCTCTTTGTGCCTAGATAATTGCTACATGAACTCATTTTTTTTTAAGCGAAAACACTTGAGGATTTGTGCATTGTTTGGGAACAGTCTGCTTGGGATATAATTTGGCTTGGGATATAATTTGGCTTGAATGAGAAAGTCTTCGCATAGATTTAGCTCAAATTACTGTTGGTATTTATATAGAAATGTGTGACAAAATTAACTTGTTTCTTTTTGGCTTTATTTTGGCTTCTCTTTTGCATTTTTCGTATGAAAACAATCTCCTCATGGTAATATTCATCACTAAACAAATACAGCACAATTTGGAATGCTCTCTGTTAGTTTTACCAGAGCAATTACAGGGCTTATACAATCCTAAAACTCTAATGAATTGCCTAAGGGTCTGTGGCATTGCAGTGTATTCTGTAAGGGAACCTCTGACTGCTGTATGATCGGTAGGGGATTATGTGCCTAGGAAAGCTGGTCTAGAGTAGAGCTGGTGACTATACAATTAATGTATACAATTTTTGTAATCTGCTCTTAAAAAGTAATTACATCTCACCTCTTTTCCAGTTTAATCCTCTCTCTTAGTTAGAAAGATTTTATTAAAGTAACAATGAGATTTTTTTGTCTTTGGAGTGCAGACGTCAATTACCTTTTCAGAAAACAGATACTTAAATAAGTTCTGCTACAAATTTGCTCTTGGACCCCCACATTTTTGGAATCTCCTAGCTAAAGAAGTTTAGGATTAAACGTCCACATTTCTGCCACATACAATCTTGTCAATCTTGGCAATTATTACAGCCCTCTAGGAGAAGTTATGTGGGTGTTGATAAAAGACTACCCCCCACATCCCCATCAGACAAGGTCAGCTATTGAAATCAAGGTCATTTTCCTGAACCTCCCCAAATAGTTGAAAGAAAGGAAAGTTACTAAAACTCTGGAGTTTCTATAACCAGTGATTTTGTTAGGATGAGTTTTTCTCAAATGCAGTCCATCACGGACTACAGAGGAATGACAAGAGGAGGGGGAAGAGACTGAAAAGCAGTAGTAGAAGATGCAAGGGGCTAACTATACGTCGCAATTTAAAGCAAAAGAAATCTCTGCTGTTCCCAAATGCATGCAATAATGCGTATTTCTACTCTGACTTTTAATATAAATGGGAGGGCATGGTCTATGAGAGGTGATATCAGATTAAGAAGTGGCTGATAGACAAAGTTGAGGAACTGAGGTACCCTAGTGCATACACGTGGTTTTATGATCACCATTAATCATAAGCAGTCTTATGATTACCACTAATGGATATCTATTCTAAATTTTACTGAATCATTTTTGAACATATTTCATGGCAAACACATTAAATTACTGTATCAGAAAAGAGTCATCTGCTGACCACCTTGCCTCTGCAACAATAGTCTGGAAAGCGGTTTGAGGCATATCTATTCAAACAATCCCTCTGCCGTGACTCGTGCAGTCAAGTTGTAATTCCCAGACACATAAATAGGGGAGACAGGATTTACTGAGAATTCAGATAACATTCTTGTTTTCATGGGACAACTGGATTTTTAAACCATTCATAGCATTAGGCTCTCAGCTGCCCTTTGATTTAGTTGGGAAAATGAAAACACGCTAATCCTAAAATCGTATTTTGTGTTTTAGATTGGGTTTGTACTGCTTTTGTTTTTCATCATTTTGTGCCTACTCTGTTCTTTGTTCCACATGACTCTCCTACTTCTCTCTCCTGTCTTCCCTTTGTTTCTTTCTTCTTTCAAGGTCCTAATATTTTTCTGTGACACCCAAGTAACTTCTCTGATCCCAATTCTATCATGCGTCAGAGGCCAAAGCTTACACCAGCAAAGCTCATTCTGAATCTTGAGATGGCATCCCCCACATGTAAAGCCCCAGACTTGCAGCATTTTCAGAGTTCCCTCCCTGTTGGGTGTTCAGCAGAAGTCACTTCCTCTATCAGGCTGTGCTGCTGGATAGGGCTAGCTCCCCAGCTGCCCTCATCCCTGTGCTGTTCAAAGTGAAACAGGGAGCCCTGCTCACACAAACTGGTAGAGCAGCAAGACAGTAACCCCCAGCAGCAGGATTCAGGAGCCCTTCCACTGGCACAGCTGAACTTGGAAATGGGCACCTGATTACAGCTAAAGACCAGCTCTCACATCCAGAATTAAGCTCCGGCAGGCAAGCATGCTGTGCCATGAAGGAATTAGAAAAACCACTTCCTTAGACAGATGGATGGTTTCTATTTTTGCCTTATAAAATATTCATTCACATGTTGCTTTTCAGACGAACGGAAATCCAGTGTTAGACCAGCGTGGAATGACCTTCTCCCCTTTCCCTTTGTCCTCAGGGTGCATCAATCCTCAGAATGTTGCAGGACTGGATTACACCAGACCTCTTCCAGAAAGGCTGTCAGGTAAGGGTGGCACCAAAACATGCCAGAAATGCAGCCCATCCTTGTGTGAGAGTAGCAAAAACATTACTCCAAAAGTGAGTATCGGAGATGCTGGTATTAGTAGTGCAAGTATTTAATGCATTTCAGTACTGAGTGGACAACATCAAGGGGAAGAAGTTCCACGCTCCTGAATGTGAACTGCATTAAGATTTGATAGCCTGCCAGTGAGGACCTAAATTCATGACAACTTTCAGTGGAGAAACCTCCTCCACTCCACTGTTATCCTGTTGTCAGCTAGGATCCCCTTGTTCAGCTGTGAATTATGTCTGCAGCTTCATATGGCCACGATCCTCCAACCCACCCAAGCCTGTTATGCAGGGACATTCTTACAGGCATAAGCTCATCTGTGCCCTGATGCAGGGGCACCCAGCCCTAGAGAGCCGAGGTAGTAGGGAGTAGAAAAGGGAGATATTGCACAGTTCATAGTTCTTTCTCATGGAGGAAAAAAAGTGATGCTACAAAATTAAAGAAAGAAAAAATGGGAGAAAGGAGCATTCCCAGAAAGAGGAAGATTATCTGCCCTTTCCTCTGAACTGACATCGGTCATCTCTGAAGAGATACCGTGCTGGTTTACCACATTTTTTCTTACCTCTCTCCCTCCTGGAGAGTACATTTAAGGGCTGCTACAAGAGAGCTGTGTTTTCCTTTATTTTTCCTTTCACATATTCAATCAGGACAGTTCCACAAGATGGGAAAATACAGCCACCTTGTCCACAAGAGACCAATACTTCCTCTCCACTCAGAGCCTTCAAGAACATTAAAAGTAGGTAGCTGCGGCTAACAGTGAAACGAACAGCTCCATCTACTGACTAAACATCACCAAGATCCAGATAACAGGGTAGGAAAGCACTCGTTAAGCAGCCAGGTAAGCCACAGGACAAGAGTAGTGTTCAGGAGGTGCAAACACTTAGCTGAATACCATTATTCCTTGTAATAGTCATTTTGATCGCAACTTAGAGGTGACTAGACTTTCCTACTTCTTCTCTGAATCCACAGCGAGTGAAATCTCCTGAAATAGCTTCCTCCTTCTAAACAAACTCTTACATTAGACAGAAATTTGCAACAGGCTATGCTAGTGTCTATTCAAACAAAATACAAAGATCTCTTCAAGTACAAATTTATTTCATACTAACAAGTCACACCGAAAAATGTTTGCTTTTACCATTATGGGATGCACTGGAAAGCAAAGGAACTTCTTCAGCTGAATATTGATCCATTTAACCTACTCACAATACTACCGCCCTGGATGGATACTCTGCACAACTGACCTGTACTCTCTGCATCTCTGTACGACTGAATATGTGTATTGTTTTCATAGGCAAAGAAGAAAGAGCTGGTAGTATTTTCACAGTCTTCTACCTCTCTCTAGGCATATTTGAAGAAACACCGTTTCCAGAATGCCAAGACACAACAATTTTGGGAAGCTCTGGAAGCGGTATGTTTTGCAGCAACCCAAATCCTTGCTAATAAATGTTTCATCTCTCACCCACTGTTTCCCAAACTTTTTATATTCTGTAGCTTTTCTGTCAATAAGAGATCACAAGCTAGACAGCCTCCCAGTATACTCCAACATATCTTATTTCTAGTAAATATATATTATTTCCTCATTTTTTGGCATAAGACTGTGGGAATGGAATAAGAAACAAGAAAGGAGGCCTTGCTAACAAACAGCCTGCTACTGAAACATTCCCCCCACAATTCAAACTCATTTCATGGGTGAAAACACCCCTCATCCACCACATACATGCACCACATACTCTTCCTTATCTCTAACCAGATTCAGCTGTTTGAAACCTCTCAACAGTATCCATTCCCAAGTAATTTTGGTGCTTATTTCCATCTCTAGCTTCTGAGTACCAGCTGGGTCACTCTCTGTGCCACCATTTTCTGATCTTTCTTTTTTCCTTGAGTCTGGGCTGTTTCTTTCCAGCTATCTCTACCCCCAAAGGCCCACCTGCATACTACCAGGTCCTTCCCCTGATGATATTTCCTTTCCTTCTACCACTGTGGACACTTACACAGCCCAAATTACACTTTTGTGTCTCCTTTCAAGTTCCCATCTTCTCCTTGGTCCCAGCCTTCTTCCTGCTCAGCAGGACTTCTTCCTCCTTTCTCTCTGGTGCTCTGCATCTTCACATCATCTACTTCATCTGAAGAAGGAAACAGTGACCTTAGCTCCCTTCCCTCACAGGTGGCATCCTGGGGAGGCAGTGGCAGCTTTCTCCAGCTCCACTTTCTAGGGCAGAAGTTCATGGTCCACAGAATGGATCAAATTTTACACTAGTGCAGCTTCTGGTGGTTAATATTGGCTCCTCCTTCACACTCAAAACAGGGCATGCTGCAGGAGACTTCTGGCTTTGAAAAGTCTCTTTATATCCTTTCTGTCCTGTTCAGTTATTTCCTCAGAAAAAAATGAGAGATCTTAGAGCACGCAAAGGTCCTCAAAGGTTCCTCAGTATTTCTTGCCCATGTTCCTAGCCAGTCTCCTGCCCACGTTTCCTCTGTCCATGTTCAAGTTTCCAGCTCATTCCTTCTTTCAATGACAGGCACCATGAAAGGATTTAATAGAGTATTTTTTGTACTGAACCTGCTCTTTCCTCTGCCCCTGTCTGCTCTTCTTCCTCTCAATATCAGAGATTTTCTTTTTTTTCCCCTCTTTGGACTGAATTTGCTTTTTCACTGCAACCTTCTCCCATCATTCATAGGCAAGTAATAAACCTGTGACGGAAGTCATGGACACATGGACTAGGCAGATGGGCTACCCTGTTTTGGAGATGGGAAGTAATTCAGTATTCACACAGAAACGTTTTCTCTTGGATCCCAATGCAAATGCTTCTCATCCTCCTTCTGATCTTGGGTAAGTTCCTGCTGTAAATGTCTATCCAAAACAGGTAGAAATACTGTACAGACACTCTCTTCAACTGACATGCATGTAGGCAGTGTTATACCCATTCTTGCTAAACTTACTTTCAGCATTTGTTTTTAAAAAGAAACCAGCAGGAAGTTAGATACAAATATTTCAAATTTAGGACAGCATCAGCCCTTTGTCTTAGGGTTTCTTTTCAAACACAGCAGAGTAAAATTGGACAGGGTCTTTCAGAAAATCTTATTCCCATACACAGACAGCTCAGATGATTGCAAGTTATCTGCCAAACCACTGCAAATTATAGTCTGCCAGACTAAGGAAAACTGACACAAAATTGTCTCTGTCCAGAAACCATATACCAGAAATCAAACCCATATTTTATACCATGATATTTTATTCCTTTTCCTATATGGTATAGGATCTATAATACATCACAGGGTTTTCACATACAATACAGGTCTTGTCTACCCATCGTAAAAACATGAGTTACTGTGAAATAGCTAGTCATGTGTAAATGCTATTAATCCTCATCAAGAGCTATTTTTTTTTCCTATTTAACTCAGGATGGTATTGCTTAATTTTACCCATCTAAAAGATAGTTATCTAGTCAAAGTTAGCCACCTTGGGCTCCTACATGGCCAGACAGCCAGCTGCAGACATTCATCTACTCTATTCAAGACAGGTGGGATACTGTATAGAAGCATATTTGTTAATTAACAGGTGACTAACCTGAGGGGAGATGAACCCTACCTGTGGGTTGGTGGACTTGCACAGAAAAATGGCTTGGCTGCACTGTGGCATTAACCAGCTGAATAACTGTTCAGAGCTGGTATTGTGTATATTTTTAGCCAGCCTCAGTTTTGAGACAATACAACTTTGCTAACATTTCTGTGAAAGAGATTCAAATATACCCATATTAGGAAGGTTTCATTCCTTGAACTAGCCCAATCAACTAAACCAGTAAAACTTGCCTGTATGAACCAGAACTAAATCTACCCAAATGCAATTTGCCATTAGTTTCTACTAGTTATTTTAACACAAAGGGCGAGAACAAGAAGAAAATGAAGAAACAGTTGCAGCCACTTTATTTTGATCTGGTTAAAAAGGAAAAACTTGAGCAATGAGAAGGCCCATGGTATTGGCAGTTTTGGATAGGTATCAAAAGAGTTGGGATGAGATAATTACCTGTGTATTTGCAATGTTGTATTTCTCCCAACATAAGCAGAAAAGTTTGCAGGCTTTTGAAGCAACTCTAACTGCAAACTACAGCACTGTGCCATCTGAAGGGTGGTGTTACAGACTATTCAGGCAAAAATACTTCTTTGTATTAAAAATTTTGACTTACTGCATTATGCTCTGAGGTAGCAGATTTAGGAATCCTACTTTTGCTTGACTTCAAGACTTACAGTACATTACTATCTGTCATTTCTTGAGTAGAAATCCCAGCACTGTTCCTACCTTAACCTGTCAAGAAGCTGAGCTGTGCACTGCCCCTGCTATTCCCAAAGTGAGAGGGGAATTTCTTTCTGAATATGTAGTTTTTTTATAAATGACTTAAAAATAAAATGCAGTAGTATATATTATAATGCTGATATTATCTGTCCTGGGCCAGGCTTACTCCTTTGCCTAACAGTCAATCCACTGAAAATCAATACCTCCTCCTTCCACCCTCACAGATAGGGATGAGGAAGCTCCTGAAGAGATCCTACCCCAGATGGGACTGGCCTATTTCATGTCTGGGTGCAGGATTTTGATTTAAGCAGTGAAAACTCCAGGCCTGTATATGCGTTATTCTCTGAACCCTGCAGGGATAGTCTCCTGAGCTGCTTGCTTGTTTCAAGCTTGTTTGGCTTGAAAAAATCCTCTCTAGCATGCTGGCACTCAAAAGAAATGGAAGTTCAAAAACTTGTGCTCTTAAAATAGTGCTGCTGAGCAAATATGTAGCTACAGCATAGCACATCAGGAACACATCCTCAATATGCACAGTTAACAGGACATAGCTATTGTATCCTATGCTCAGGAAAAGTATTTACGTATGTAAACTCAGGAACATATAAAGAAAACAAAATAAAATCCCCCTCATTAAATCCATTTACAAAACCAGGGTTTTGTTGGGTTTTTTTTAAAATCTTTTATGGGCTTTCTCTTGGGGAAACACAATACTGGGGCTGATGGCCAAACAATAACCTCTGTAAATTCCATGGCAGTGAGCTCCATCAGAGAACTAGTAAACTCCAGAAGCATATAAATCTGTTAAGATAGTTTTGTTTTGAAGATACAAAAAAATAGCTGATCTTTCTTCCTGGAGGCAGCAGGAGATACCATAGCCTTCATTTTGGTATTTTCTGGAAGTTAATGACCATTCACCTGATCCAGGTTTGTAAAGACAACTCAGGTTTTCCTGTAGCACTGTTCACCAAGGGGTTTAAGATGGAAGAAAAATCTCCCTGGGAGGGACTGTAATATGCTAACATAGAACAGCAGCTGACTGCTCAAAAAGGCTTAATAAATTTAGCAGCCCTATGCAGGTGGCTGTGCAGGTACACTCACGCCATGCTGTGCCATCCTACTTCCCTGACTGCCTGGTCACAGTCTTGGTCAAGCTCTGCTGTGGCTCCCTTCCAGCCCAAATGGCTCAGCCTCATCCTGGGCATGCCCCGGACTGAGGAGCCTGCACCTAGCCACTGAAGGTATTCAAGGAATTGAAGACCAAGAAGTAAGGTTGCATTTGGCTCCCAGTGCTTTCTAATGGAGGAATTAGGGTTGTCTTGGAGAAGGAAAATAGACTAGAAAAGGCAAGAGGTCCTACTGACTGTATCGCAGTTGTTGCTTAAGTGCTATCAGTTTTCCCATCTGTAAAAAAGGTTTCATAATACTTAACCATTTATTTCAGGTCAGCGTTGCAAAGATTAACTGGTGTCCGCACAAAGCCCGAAACACATCAGCATTAACATTGACACCAACCATCCACATATAATCATCTTTGACTGAATTAATTGCTTTTTACCCCACTAGATTAGTATCTGACATGACATGAAGATATTGTTTAGTAGGGCTGCATGTTCCAGAGCTGTGGTAATAAGCTACACAATATAGCACAATGGATATTAATTCACGTGATCTCTCTCTGATTATGGGTAATTATTACCCATAAAACCCATTATTACCCATAAACCCATAAAAAAAAGGAACCAGCTAAATTGTGCAGCTTTCAGACTTAACTTTAGGAATGCAATTAACACAGTACCATATTAACTTGACTAATACTTCAACATCGGACTCTGGGCAAAATCTTACTCCATGCTCTTGCTCAGTCCACCAGATGTATTTTGAGAACTACTGACAAAGTATTAAGACAAGCTACTGCTATTTCCCATCTCTAGAGCATGAACATGCCCAGACTCTTCATGCTTTTTATTTTGCTTTTCAGGGAATATAACTGCCCCAATCATATCACACTTCCCAATTATACCACACTTCCCCAATCATACCACACTAATATCTGATATTTTGTTGCCTGAATAGAGTATCATAGCACAGAAACATCTTTACAACATAAACAACAGCTATTGGTAAAACGCTGTGTTTTGTTACAAGGGATATTTGATAAATGTATATGTACATAAGCACACATTTGGCTTCATAAAACAAGATGTAAGCATTCAACCAAATAAAAAGATACATTAGAGTTTTATTTTTAGCATTTGGTTTCAAATGTCATTTGATTCTCTTTCCCTTTAAATAATTTCAGTTACAAATGGAATATACCAGTGAAATGGACACTTGGGAGTTCGACAAATTATACTTTCTACAACGCATCAGATTCTGCAGGTAAACTTCCCCTTTTTTTGTAAGAATAATTAATGGATAAAGCTTTTCAATGTCCTTAACAAGACATAAAATACAAAATTAACTTTCATAGTTTTCAGATCTGGGAACCAGCACACAGCTTGATTGTGCTGAAGTTAGCAGTCTGCAGTGAGATGATTATTTCCCCTATCCACATATTATGTCAATTTAGGCTCACTTCAGTAAAGTGCTTAAGCATGGGTTTAAATCCAGTCCTATTCAAGGAAATATCTAAGCATACTCTTAATTATGATGTACTAAAATCAATGGAACTTAGATATGCCCTTCGTCAAGTCTAACAAAAGAGGTGAAGTGGGAGGCTGATGAACATGTCCGTGGCATGGTAAACTGGCAATCTGAGTTCATTTAAAGCAAAAGAGCTACAAATGATTAAACACATTTTCTAATGCTGATTTCAGGAATGAGGAAATACCAACATGGGTATTTGTGATGATTGTTCTACTATGCAGTCAAATCTGAATTTCTCATTCTACGACTCTAGTGGCCAAAAATGGGGAAAAAAAGGGGGGAAGGGGGAGAAAAAACCTACTGATTTTTTGAGGTTTTAAATTTCATCTCATGTTGGAATTTCAGAAATATCACAATCAGCTCTTCTCTTCTTGTACTTGTTTGAATGTTACCTATTTAAAATGTAATTTGCCTTTTGTTCTACTTTTTTTAATAACTGGATGCTTTTAGTATCCATGCAAAAGCAAAGAAAAAAGACTTATGTCATGATACACGTTAGAGATTAACACAAATTAATTTTCCTTCTCTAACTTCCACAGGACACTACAGTGGGCTGTAAGGGGCTATTAACTTGACAAAGCCTGCAAAGCACCTGCAAAGGTGCTTACTTCTAAATCCATAAAAAACTTGGCTAGTAGGACAAACTGTAGGGAAAAAATGCCTTTTGAAATACCTGGTATGGGTCATCCAAACAGAAAAGTGTTTTTAACTCCAGCCACCCTCAAACCACAGATTGAAGACCACTGCTTTCAACGGGCAGTAGAAAAACTTTCATAACTAGCAGCACCAACTGCACCAGGCCAAGCTTCTCAGAAAGGAATATTTTTCAAGGATTCATTTTAAATGGGAAATTCCTTAAACATGAGTGCTTGAGTAGTCTTGGCCTGTTTTATAATGCCTTTATCTATAGCTACAAAAATTGAATCAGAGAAGAGCACAGGGAAGAAAACCCTCAAAAAGTTAGTTGACATAAACTGAAAAATGAAATAAATGGAGGATAAAATATGAGAACTTTAAAACTAATAGCAATCATGAGCATGAAAACCATTTGAAAGAGATATTTGCAAGAACTGCTTCTTTGCAATTTTTTACTTTTTAAAATTACACTAATTTTCACCATCCTCATCTTAATCACAATGATCTCCATTTTAAATTTAACAAACTAGCTGGCCTAAGTAATTACCACAATTCACTATTCTAAGACAAGTGCTGGCATTTATTGAAGTCTATAATAACTCATCTTTATTCACAGCTATTTAAAAAACAAATAAAATTAAGGTTTGGATCTTATTTTGATATTCATTAAAACCAAATACTACTTTTGGAGTCAAGGAATCTCCAGTGAGTTCTGTGTCATGTAAGATGCACAAACCAATCACTGTTTGTTTGTTTTGCAGGAATTATAATAACATTGCCTCCTGATACTGATGCAAACGTTAATCCAGACCACATTGGATTTTATCGGGTGAATTATGATAGTCAAAACTGGGCCAGATTAAGCACTCTTCTCTTAATCAACCACACAGTGAGTGTCATAACATTAACCTGTCTGATGGGTCTCTTACAGAGGTCTGTAGAAGGTGTTTTCCTGCAAATAATCTATAAATTCTTGATCGCTCTTTTCCTATTTTCACACAGAATTTTTCAGCTGCTGACCGCGCAGGGATTTTGGATGATGCCTTTTCTTTAGCAAGGTAAACTAATTCCCTGCAGAGATTTCAACACAAGTTTTTCACTTTCCATTGCCTATTACTTAGAATTAACTCAGCACAGGTGGTTGAAAGAAAATTTCTTACATTGGTTGTTACAAGTCTTAATTGTTTGTTGGCTTATGTTGTCCTCCAAAAGGGGCAAATTCAAGTATGCAGTGCTACTTGCAGTACCAATGCAGTCAAGATAAATGCTCCCCTTCAGTTCAGTAGCAGAAAAAGAGGGCTTTAATTGCACAGATCTTAGAAAGGAGTTTTGCCATGTAAGTAACAATAATAGAAGCACTCCAGAAGAAGTTAGGTGTCCAGAAAATCAGAGGCATGCCTACAATGCACAGCATGGCATTAGAAAGTTACCACCTCAGCTATCTTGTTTAGAAACTTGCTTGCAAACTTCTAGCTCTTGTATCCAGCCATGCTGACACAGATAAACTTCAGGTGACCCTCTGTGACAGCCTGTAAGTCTGAATATCCTCAGCCTTTCAGGATATCTCCAGAGCTAGCAATTCCTTTTTGTGTGACAGGAGTTAATGTAGTCGGTTGAGGGTGTCGTGGTTTAGCCCCAGCCAGCAGCTAAGCACCA